AGGAGTAGTTGGAACTGGCCTAGTGCGTTTGGGCGCTTGGTCAGGTAAGCCACAGACCAAGAGCTCCGAACTACTTTCAGGTCCTTGAAGACGACGAGTTAGTCGAAACGTTGGCCTAATAAACGGTTCCATCATAACAAACCTGTACGGCAAAGCATACTGAAATATTATATGACATGCCCAGGTTTCAAGAAGACCGAACTTGGAAATTCCTATTCGGAATGATTAGCGTTTGAACTGAGGGAACTGCTCCCCAGAAAAATTATCCATCCAATTATCCTCTTATCCTATTATCCAATTATCCTTTTTCTGTATTGTTGACTCGAATCAAGTCTCTGACGTTGAGTCTTGGTACAAATGGGTATGCTCGCGTTGGTCACGTCGGAGACCCGATATCTGGCAAGATTCTTCACCAGTCAGGACCTAAATATTTGTAGTGATCAGAAGTTTTTGAGGAAGGCCCTGAAACAATGGTTCCCATAGAACTGAAAACACTTGTTCCCATTAAGACCAATACTCAACAGAAGTCCTCAACCTGGAAAAGAATTTGAGAGAGTCGAGCACTAGTTTCGATATGGCATCCTGAAGGATAATACTTTTTCTACTTTTCAGATGGTAAGCGGTACAATCAAGCGGTGGGATTCATGCAGAAACTTGCCAACAAAGTGTATAGCTTTATGTCCCAAGAAGAAACATCAACGCACGTGATTTCCACTCCTTCTGAGCCAGTGAGTTGTTAAGCGTAACATGCGAGCAATAATAAGACCTGTTCTAGCGGAATATTTCATAAGCCAACTTTATCGTGAACTGTGCTTTTAAATGATGACATTCCTTGCTCACGAAAATAATCCTAACTTACTCGCTGGGGTCTGCTGAGATGCAGACGTTTGTGTCAAACAGCTTGTCCAAGGCTTGCTTATTGCAATGAGAAAAGGAGGCGAAGAAAGACCCAATATAGCTATGGCACCAGTGTATCGATAATGCCGCCGCTTAACTGCGCTACGATTTTTATTCAGGACATGACATAGACGAGTCTACCACAGTGGAACTACATTGAACCCATTCGAAAGCAAAAGTCATTCAATGCAATATCAATGATTGGCAATTGTCCTGTAACAATTTGCCCTGCTCTCCCCGTTTTTCCTTAGTTTATGTCCAAGCTTTTATAAAACTACTATAAAATAATGCTTTCTTTCGAAGTCTCGTTGACAAGTTCTTTCGTTTTCTCTTTACTGCTCCACAGAGCCTTTTACAAAAGTCGGTATGATTTGCAGCCACTGCCTTACAGTAGCTGCTAATCATACCGACTTTTGTAAAAAGCTCTGTGGAGACCTTCATAAGGCAGGAGAGATCAAAGGGCACAGAGAAATTGCGCACTGAATCGTTCAAACTTACTACGGACCAAATTTTAATTATGTTTAATGCAAAGAGGAACAGTATCCAAATTGGCCTTCAATGGCTGTTGGCATTCTTCTTCAATTATACCTTTTATTCTTGAACGTACGACCGAATTTTTAGACAGCCTCTATACGGCTGACGTTCTGGTTGTCCTCTTCGGAGCCTGGAAAGACAAAAGCCTGCTGAAACGAGCACTATTTGCGCCTACAGGAGAAACTCAATAAGATCATAAACTATAATTATATCCTAACTATATACATATAATCTACAAGTTTGATGTGTCTGTTTGTTTGTATGTATGTCTGTGTGCCACGCAATTCGGTTTCTCCAGATAAAACACTTTTCGAGGTCGGGACAAGTTTGAGATGGGTGGGGCCTGAGACAGCATTAACAGAGCACATACGAGCTCTGCGAAGCTCTGCCCACGGGGGGCGGGGCAACTGCCGGAATGGGCGATGCCAACAGGCAAACATCTTACTTTGCTTTGAAAAAGTCCAGATACGAGGGAAAATGTTCAAAGGTGAGGATTGCGTCAACAAACCAGAAGGAGCAGACCCAAGTGCTGTGGGCGGAGTTTTCTCGAAATGAGCGGTACTTTTCACATGCATTCATAACTCGATTCACTTAAGGCGCAGAGGCCAAGAAAAAAATAATACAAAGAGTGAGCAGGGCCTTATGCTTGCTGGGCTTGGCGAATCTCCGCCCTCGATGAGCGGGGCGTGTTTTGAGTCGACAGCCACTTTACAAAAATGACTGCAACTTTGCTTGGAAATGTTCTAGAATGTGGGAAAAAAGTGGTTAGAGGTAATGGAACAAATACGGTCGAATCTCAGAAGTGGGCGGGGTTGGCACCAAGGTGGGCGAGGATTGGATCAAAAATTTATCTCTATTTAGACGTTGTGGGATGCGGGAAAAAAGTGCTAAGACGTAGTACAACAAATGTGTTCAGATCTCACAAGTGGCTGGGGTTGTCGCTGAAGTTTGCAGGGCTTACGTCAAAATTATTAAGTCTCTTCAGATGCGTATTAGAACGCGGGAAAAAGGTGTCTGGAGGTAATAAAAGTAATGTGGTTCGAAGTCTGAGGGGGTGGGGTTTGCAAAAAGGGGGACGGGGCTGAGATCAAAAATTAATACACATTTAATTTATACTGTCCTTCACACTAACCCTGACGACATAGGTGTAGAACTAGACGATACCACTAACCTCTTCCAAAAACTAGGCTGAAAATTTTCTAAAAGCTAGTATCCATGGTTCCACACACAGTAGTCCTTTCTACACAAAAGAAAATGCCACACAGGTGCATACCTCGTAGAGACGTGTAAATCCCTAAAACTACCCAGAGGGGCTTTCCTTTCAAAGTTAGTGTTCAAGGCCACACACAGCCCAAACTACACAGGGTTTCTTCGACTACCTGGACTGCAGAGGGATGGTTTCTTCGACTACCTGGAGGCCACACACAGCTCCATTTCACACCCCCAAAGAAATGATGGCCGCTACAGAAGCACCAGGGAAGAGGCATAGATCATAATAAAGGTCTGTAATGAAAATCAAAAGCTCACATGGCTTCGTCCCTCATGGCTAGCGCACGCGATCCGCCGCCTGGTAATTACAGAACCAAAAACAGCAAGACTAGCTGACCTTTAGAATAACGAACCTGTATAGTCCACCGTTCATTGTAGGCTGGAGTAAACGCTGTTTGAATAAGAAGAGCTTCGGATCAGATCACATAGACCAAACCTCTGCAGAAGCCAATCAATGCCGAACGCGTCGTTAAATCGTTCGTGATTACTTCTTCCGAACTACTGTACAAGTCTCCTAACGCCGATGCACAGAGGAGAATTCGGGAGATCAACTGTGTATTCACAAACGGCATGGTAATCAGAAGTAGCACGATTCTCTTTTCAATGGTTGAAGACGTAAAGTCATACGTTGTCGACAGTGCAAATTACGTCTGTAGTGTTGAATTCGGTTATGAGACGTTCTAGTGATGCTGACGAGGTCAGAGCGTGGAGAACATAGATGGATGGTCATGAGCATTCTCGGAAGAATACGGGTATAAAGAATCCTCTATTATCAACCCACATCGGACCAAGTTGATGTTCACTCACGAGAAAATGAACCACCGAAGCAATGATAAAAGTGATCCAATTGTTACTGTTTGTGTTGGCCTACAAAAGGCCCATGCACTCGCAATAGGCTACTCCTTCCTACTCTCTTCCGACGTCCAGCGGCTACACAGGAATCACTACAACTGGTGCATCGGCTCAGTCACAGATCCAGGGCCAGCGGAAGCAGTCGATTCAAAGAAGCCGTCTGAAGAATATCAAGCGACTATACT